GACAACCTACTTAATTCCATTTTTTAAGGTTAATCACTGCGACTGGGATTTTTTCCACATTTCAACGTGTTGAATTTGCTATCCACTTTTTCTGGCAACATTTTGTGAGAATTTGCATCGATTGTTGTTAAGGTGTTGATATGATAGTAATGATATATAAATAGATAGTATGTAATAATAGACTATTATTTGTTTTATTATCGCCTTTGTATATATATATATTTACGTAAGTGCTATAAAAGTAGTTATAGTGAGTCTAGTGGCTTAAAAAATGTATCTTTTGGATTTGGAGGGCAAAGGTTGGGCGTTAGCGATATAATTTGATAACACTAGGTCAATCCAAACGATAAATAAACAACTTGACGGCTATTAAATATTCTAAAGAGCTTTGTGAAAGCTTGTTTATCATAGATCGTATCCGGTATCCCGATAGACTTACATCATTTCCAAGGGAAAAAATGCGTCCAGTAGGTTGACTCTGCAACATTGTCATCAGTTTATAAAGGATTATCATTGGCAGCTTTTCTGAGAAAAAGTTAACTACGAGCATGTTTAACAAAGGAATTCAATCGACCAAGTCAGACAAACAGACCCATTCAATTGGTCCATGTCACCATCCATTTGACAACGTTGTGACCTTGAAATGTCACCGCTACCCTACCGACCACTCCGGCAACGTTACTATAGACGTGGGCAAATATGCGGAAAAATATATGATGTACGAAATAGATTCAATGGGTCCGTAGAATTACTCTCCCTCAGCCCCCAACCTTACAAACATGTTTCTGAAAATATTCAGAAGCATTTAAAACGACAAGAAACAAAGCTTCACTTTTTGTCATTTAGTAAAGTTCAGGTATTCTATACAATACCTAGGCAATGTATAGAATACCTGAGTTGCCAAGGCAATGTATGAAATATTATGAATATTGTTATCCATTACATACTTTACCTAGGTAATGAATACAATTCATAGAGATTGTATAGGGTAGCTGCTGTTCCACTTATTAAAATTAACAATTAAAAAATAAGCTTTATGAAAAGGGTATAAAAAACACCTTTCTGTTACTACAGTAAAATCACAGTAAAATTTGACAATATACAGGGTGCTTCACAAGTCGTGACCAAAAATGAAACATCATACACAGGACCCGCATTTTAAGGGGGGTCGTTTATGTAACACTTTTTCCTTGAGGGCTTGATGAGGTTTAAAAAAACATTTTTTTAGTATCTTCAAAACCGTCAACGGGATAATCTAAAATTTGGTATGTGCATTTACCTCAGTATTGTGAACATTCAGTCTTCACTTAAAACTAACGTACACCAGTGGCGGACATACAGGAGATTAGTGGCATTATTTTCCAAATAAAAGTTATACGCCGCTGTCTTTTCTGGAAACGCGCAATGTTTCGGAATAATAATAATAAAAACGATTATTGATATACAACTCAAAAGGAGAGGGTATTGTATAGATATTCTTCAACCCTTCCGTAAGCATTCATATAAATAGATAAATCGCGAAAGAATAGATTGAGAATCATCAGATATAGTTAAATAACGTGGTTCACACATTACAATCAGTACATAAGAGTACATTCTACATTATAACTGTATAAATGGACAAGTAAATAATTACAGAAAAAAAAAATAAATAGATAGAAATAAGGTCATAACGCCAAATAATAGATGGAATTCGCGATTACAGTACATGCAACTGATACAATAACATCGTATTAGTACACACCTTGTTGTTTGTTAAGAAGATATAGCCTGTAGTATTTTTTAAACCGTTGTATGGAATTTTCGTCAAATAGTTCAACCTCTTGTTCAAAATGGTTGGAGCCATGTAGCTAAAACTACTTTTAAACTTGCTTGAAGAGTGTTTGGAATAACATATAAATTTGAGTTTCTCGTATCTAAATTATAAACATCAGCAAGCCGCGTTAAATTTTTATAAAGGTATGATGGTTTTTTATATTTGATTAGCTTATACAACATAGTACTGTATTGCAATTCAGCCTTTGAATCCTATTTCAGATAACCCAAATGATTGTAATGTGGAGATATATGTTCAAACCTGTTGATAGTGTTGTAACTGTACCGTAAACAACACTTTTGTAGAACCTGAACCTTGTGTTTCAAGGTAACAGTTAAATAATAATAATAATAATAATATTTATTCACTCAATGTACAAAGATAACAAACAATATGAGTAAATAAATATAAAATCAAAACAGGCCCAATAGAAGGCATCGCCTGTACATGGACCAATAAATTTAAGTTGAAACTGTAGAATGCAAATGACAAAAAAGGACAAAAATTAGCTACAGTAGATTATGTATTTAGTTGATGTTCGTATTTATGAGTTTATGAATTTCAGTCCTAGATATAGAATGTAGCCACTTTTTTAAATTTCTTTTGAAACAATTTCCGAAACGTAAATCTTTTAAGTCTTTAGGTATAATTTCATAAAATTTAGGCGCTAAATAGAGATATGATCGCTGCATTATAGATTTATGCGGTTGAGGAACTACTGTGCCACGAATTTTGTACCTGGTATAATGATTATGTTTAATTTTTTGGTCGGTGTTTACAAATTTATGGTAGTGAGTGATACTGTGTAAGAAATAAAGCTGTCTTATATCATACATTCGAACATCTGCGTATAATTTTTCAGTGGGATAAAGTTTCGGTTTTTTAAATATCATTTTTAGAATACTTTTTTTGAAAAACATCTAAATTATAGATATGTGAGGAACATGCAGCTCCCCATGCTAATATACCATATGTGAGATGAGGCTCAATCAGTGCATGGTATAATGTTCGAAGATATTTTTCTGTCAATATATTCCCAAGGTATTTAATTTTGTAGGATACAAATCTAACTTTCTTTAAAATATAATTGACATGGATGTCCCATCGTAAGTGAGGATCCAAGATCACTCCAAGGTATTTTATGTTGGGCAGTCTATTAATTTGCATTTTTTGATCATTAATATTGAAGGAGAAATTTGTGTAATTTGGCAGATGTCTAGCATAAGATCCAAATGGTAAAAAATGTGTTTTAGAGTAGTTAATGCTTAATTTTCTACTGTTAAACCACCGAATAATTTTGATAAAATCATTGTCAATTACATTTTTCAGATCAGACCAGTCAGTGCCTTCATATAATATTGCAGTATCATCTGCAAAACTAGTTATTTTTCCAACACAATTAATTTGGAAAATATCATTTAAATATATATTGAATAACAGCGGACCTAAGACAGTTCCTTGTGGGACACCACACTTAATATACATTTCTTTACTAAATGATCCTGATATCTGCACAGATTGTGGGCAATTTGACAAATAACTTTCGATCAGTGAGTACGCGTTTCCTCTGAAACCAATTCTCTCCAATGCTTCTAATAATAATTTGTGATTAACTGTGTCGAAAGCTTCCTTTAAATCAACAAAAATGCAGATTGAAGGGATTCTGTTATCAATATTTTGATGTATTTGATTTACAATTTTAGTTATTGCATCCGATGTAGCCTTCCCTTCTGTAAATCCATATTGATTTTCACTTAAAATTTTGAATTTTGTGAGGTATCGAATCATTCTAGTAGATAAAACTTTTTCAAAAACCTTTGCTACACTGGATATTATTGATATTGGTCTATAGTTGTTAACATCTGTTTTTATTCCTGATTTATGTATCGGTATTATATTACCTTTTTTTAAAATTGAGGGATATATGCCAGATTCAAAGCATTTGTTGATTAGGTAAGTGAGTGGTTCTGTTATGTCCTCGGCTATAATTTTCAAATGCTCGCTTTTAATACCATCGAACCCAAGACTTTTCCGATTTTTTAAGGACATAACAGTGGTGTATACTTCACATTGCTCGACTTTATCCAAAATAAATGAGTTCAAAGTTCTTTTTGGAGGCTATGTGTAAAAAACAGTTAAGCCGTAGTCCATGTTAGATAGTACAACAGCATTGACTATTCGCCATTTCAAATCGGCAGATAGAATATATTTAAGTCTCCAAAGGCTTCTAAACTTAAAATAACAGCTACTAATTTTACTAGCTACACTATAATTCGAAAAACTGCCTGTTTTGAAAAAAAAAACAGTGGCGTACTATTTTTATTTTAAAAAATAATGCTACTAATTCCCTGTAACTCCGCCACTGTTTTTTGAATGTGGACAACACTTAGGTAAATTAAGAAGAATATGAAGATATTGAAAAAAATGTTTTTTATTTTTAAACTTCACAACACCCGTATTTTTTAATGAAGGCCTCGAGGCAAAAGTGTTACATAGAAGACCCTCCTTAAAATGCGGTCCTGTGTATGATGTTTCATTTTTGGTCACGACTTGTGAATCACCCTGTATAGATACGTGTAAAGTACTTCTTGATTTAATTTGATATCGTCTCTACAGTTAAATTACGAAGTGCCTCAATTGGAGGACAAGATTGAGGTGTACAGATCGTTTGGCATTATACCCGACATTCAGTCCAAAATTCTGAATTCATTCCGCATTAAGAATTTCAAAGGGAAATAAGAAACAGTGAGTTTTTAATGGCTGTTAGGTTAGATAACTGGCCTTGAAGATGGCTCATGTCAGTGCAAGTCAAGTGAGCCTTTACAAAGAAATACAAAATCAAATATCTGTGGCGAATTATTCATAATAAGATTATTTTGCGAATAATGGCTATAATATTTTAACAGATCTAAATAAAACGATAGATTATAAAAGTATAAGTGGCCAATACACCATTATAAATCTGATAGTGTTTTGGGGATTGGAATTCTCAAAGTTTTATGTTCCACAATAAATTATTTCGATACCGCCAAAATATAAATTGACAGAGCTATAAAAGAGATCACGATAAACGTATTTGACTGTAGGAGCGTACGTAATCAAATGATCTCCTGCTCTGAGACCCCCTATATTTCATTCACAGATTTTGGATACGGATTCGACTTATTCTGTTTTATTTTTGCAGGTTCATCAATACACTATTGTAACCTTTGTCTGGAAACCTCTTCAGACGCAGTTCTAGAAGAATGTGTTAGATATTGCAGCCTGATTGTCATGAGCATATTTAGTCTACAAGGCAGGTATCAAGCATGTCAGTTATAGGATGGTTTCAGTCATAACTAATGTAGTCGGTAGAGTACTGGCTAATGGACTAGACTTTGATTATAAAGCCAATGTGAAAATGACATACTGGAGCAAGATTCTTCATTTTGTCAGCTTCATATTGTTAACTCCCACTGAAAGTGTTGACCTTGATATGTCCTTGACCGGTGATTACAACTCCAAGGCTAGGGTCGTCTTGGTTGCCGTTCAATTTTTGCGTGCTTCATTTGAGATTGACAGATGGGAGGCGCGTTTCCAACTTTTTTGCGAATCGAAACGGAAATTTCAGAATATGATTTTTCATGTGGTATGAATAATCACAATGGTGAATGTCATTATAAATGTTAAAAGAGCAACATTTCATAATGTATTCACAATTCTAAGCATATGCCATTTTCGGTTAATTTTTAAAAAAATCATAGTAATAATGTTCTGGTTATACTTACAGTTACTAAAAAAGTTGTTCCAGATCACAATTTAGTACAACTTTTGACTTACAGTATAACAGAACCAATAGTTATCGTCATATTTTCAAACTAAGGTAGCATCTCGTCATAATAGGTATTAGATTCGTATTATAGATAAATATTTTTTCACAGATCATAGGTATACGTTCAAACCGAAGTCTCTCATCAAGACGCTCTTAAAAAGTTCAGAAAACGAAAGTTAAACATTAAAAGCACCCTGCAGAAACGTTATGTGAAATGGCTTCCGGCTATTCGTTTTTAAATTAAGCATGTTTTACATATCAAAGCGAAGAACACACGTGTCTATGAGCCCATAGTTTTTCCGCGAGTAGTTTCTGAGATATAGAGCCTCCAAGTTGGGAAGTCGGTACCCTATTACATGTTTTATATACTAAGAGACATATAAATCCGAACACCCAGTTTAAATGGTTTTATTTTAATAAAAGTTGGTGAATGTATTTATCTTACTGTAAATAACAAGTGAAAAAATTTTCAGCCTTATCAGTTGGACATTCCGGTTTTTATACTGCTTTTTTTTAATTCACTAACGCTCTAAAAATGAATATTTCAGCCGCAGTAAAGAATCATCGTTGACGGATTTTGGTTCTTGACATCCTTTACGATCGGTTACGATGCCTAGAGTACGGAGACCTGTACGATTTCGTCAACTTAGTGAGTTTGATAGGGGCCGTATAGTGGGACTTCGGGAAGCTGGACTTTCTTTTCGGGCAATTGCAGTTAGAGTGCAAAGAAGTGTAGACACTGTGGTTAGGTGTTGTCAGGCATGGCTTCGAGAAGGCCGTACGCAAAGAGCAAGGGGCACTGGACGCCGCCGTAGAACAACAGACCGTGAAGATCGCCGCCTAAGATTATTGGCCTTAAGGGACCGTTTCTCCACTACCAGGTCCACTGCAAATGAATGGTTTGCAGAACACGGAAGACCTATTGGCATGCGAAGTGCTTACCGACGAATGAGAAGTTTTGGCTTGTTTTCATACCGGCCACACTGGGTCCTCCCTGTAACTCGAGAACACCGACGTAATCGCCTTGAGTGGTGCAGACAACGGTCACTCTGGGATCAGGAATGGAACAGTATTGTCTTTATTGACGAGCCTCGATTTTGTTTAGGCATGCACGATGGTCGTGCCAGGGTTCGAACGCGACGTGGTGAAAGGAGGAATCCACAGTTTTTTGTTAAAAGACATGTTCATCACACTGTTGGAGTTATGGTTTGGGGTGCTATAGCTTATGGTTCCAGGTCGCCTTTAATCTTCATCAGAGGTAACATGAACGCGCAGCGTTATATCCACGAAGTTCTAGAACCCCATCTTTTACCCTATCTTGACACTCTGGCATATCCAACTTTCCAACAAGATAATGCCCGACCACATGTTGCAAGAGTCACAATAGACTTCTTTCAACATAATGATGTCACATTGTTAACATGGCCACCAAGATCTCCCGACTTATCCCCAATTGAGCACGTTGGGGATATGATGGGTAGGAGGTTGCTCAATTTGCAACGTCCTCCTCAGACTCTAGAATCACTTCGAGAGGAGTTGGTGGTTGCCTGGAATGAGATACCACAGGAGGACATTGACCACCTGATCAGAAGCATGCCTAGGCGCGTTGGAGAATGCGTAGCACATCAGGGTGCATCCACACATTATTAAAGGTCAAAGGGCTTTAAAGCAGTGCAATCATTTTGAAATTTTTATCATTTACTTATTATGCTTCATTAAGTACTTATACAAAATTTTATTAAAATAAAACCATTTAAACTGGGTGTTCGGATTTATATGTCACTTAGTATATTTATTTACGTTCTCATCTTAATACTGGCCGGGTCACAAACATTGTAATTCTATCACATATACAGGGTAGACCAAACTTGCATGGATGGAGTACATGTATTGCTCCATTTATCAGAAATTGTTCCTGCACCGTTCGTGTTTTGTATTGCATATATTACATACTAGCAGCTACTCGCGATCTTGTACGCTTTAACACATTAGATAAAATATGCATAAATTTATGAGAGTCCTTAAATTCCTTTTCGGCCATGTGAAAAAATCTATTCTTAGTTCAAGTCTACTCTAAACAACCTCATCATTGGCAATTTTAGGTATCTAGCAGAAAACTTCAAGGAATCTGAACACAAGTACCCTTCAACCTCCTTACGTGTAATACGTCCATCTTAACTGACATCTATTGCCTTTAACCTACCCCCTGTCAAATTCTAGGTATTTAGTAGAAAAACAAAGGACTTGCTTACAAACTTGTAGATGCATATTTTCCCCTTAGATCCGACCCTATCGCAAACTCCAGTCTTACTTGACATGTTCTGTTGATAAAATACTTCGCTGCAGTTTCGTATTCATAGGCTTGAATATAAATATTCAAACATCTCCTATATCAAGGATATAATTTCTGGAATTTTTTTTGATGTTTATTTTGAAAAGACAAAACATACTCCAGCTTTTCAGCTGGTCTAATTTGAAATATTCTTGGTTCTTCAGGTTAAAGAGTGCTAACCCTCACACAAAATTTCTTTGAAAGTGCTCATTTACACTACGTCAAAGAACCAAATATACAAAAACCCATTCTTTATAATTCTTACACAAAGAATAAATTTTTTTACCCCTTCAAGTTTTATTTTCCCAACAAAAGGTAGCCTTTGTCCGTCTCCAAGGTCCAATCTATGATTATGAATATATGAACGAATTCTACATGGTACATGATATGGTTCTATGAGCTATGGACTGCCCAATTTGGAGGCCTGCATCTCAGAAGCTATCTTCGGAAAAAGAGCTTCTAGTAGTCGGTCATAATCATAGATCATAGACATAAATGAGCATAAGGTTTAAAATACGTATTACCTATAAACGCATTTATACAACTTGTCATAATCATAGTCCTGGATGGCCTTGAAGTTCGTAACTTTTAAGTCTATGCTTAAGCTTATGACTGAAACGTCATTTTACCAGCTCTAATTGTCAGAACTGTCAAGTGTGTTCTTTCAAGTGTTCAAGTTTACGGTGTTTTATGGTTTGTTGATGTTGTCGCTATCACATTTCATTTATGATTTCGCCGTGTTTGCCATTTGCTCGTTCGATTTTTGTTTTTATCGTTGTTAGAATTGACCAACAGTGACAGGTCAGGAGGCTGTGATCTGTGAAAATCACAAATAGACAACTGTTTATGACTATAGTATGATTAAGATAGTAGTATAAACACACTTCGATTGTGACTATGATTATGTTTATGACTATGACCATTAAAAGGTTGTATAAACCTGTCAAGTTTTGTGATCTCAATTTTTATAAAAATAGCCGAAATCCGTTTTCCTTAAGGTGTTTGCGGAGTCTTACACGCCCTTGCTATAGTCAAATATCATAATACGATATAAAACATCGTATACGCTGTTTACACGAGATAAGTCTTTCAATGTTTTGAAGTCCTCATTAACGATCAGTTACGCTACTCACTCCAAATTTGATACTTGATTATGAAGGATCAGAATCTTCATACGATGTCTTTTTCTTCATCTTTTTGCATCATTGTTCACACTGCTTTTTCACTAACACTGAGTTACGATACAACTGAATCACGATCGGTTCAGTTGAAAAAGTGTAAGCCTCTCGACTTTCCGGATCCTGAAGGAAAATAGCACAGGCGAGTACTGTAGAAAACCAGTCTCGTCAATGTTTGAAAACAAAATAGCATCAACTTCATAGTTTCCGGTATTGGCAAAATTATTACCAATAAAAATAGTACGAGAATATAAGCATGCAAACTAAGAAAAAAAACACTCACTGTATGCGCTGGTATCGTCGGTGGTTCCGTTGACAGTACCGTCTGGCAGTATCTGTAGGTGTCGGTTCTTGATAAACATCTGGATCTTTCTGGCAGTACCTGTGACGTGCGAGAGATTGGTACTTCTCTCACTTCTAGCTGCCGGATCCTCCAACAGTTCCTGATCCGTATCGTGTTCGTGGTTTGTTGTGGAGTTTGGACTGTGGTGGTACTGGTGGTGATGGCTATGGTGATGTTGATGGTGGTGATGCTGAGTGGATTCGGTGAGAGCGGTCAGAGGTGCGCCGTATATAAAACCACAAATCGTAGCAGCTAACAGTCCCAGTAACAGCCTTTTCACCATGACTGGGACATAGTGTCGCACTGTTGTCGCTCACTGTCACTTGGTATCACAGTGTATACCCGGCCGGTAGACCTAGCCCCAAAACTAACCCCATCAGTATACCGAGTGTTTCAAATTTGACTCTCGCCCTTAAGATCTTGGAAACAGTAAGAGATACGGAGTCGGTTCACTTCGAAATTTACAGAAGAAAGGTTAAAAAACGAATTTTCTCAAAATCTTTATTTGAGGTGCGGTTTGAAAATAACATGCCCATTAACATTACTACTTGGTCTCCTCTACAAGGTGGCACTATTAGAACTCCAATGTGACGTGTCATCTCTTCATCAATCATCAACTATACAGGGTGTCCGCAATGTTGGGGTTTTCCTTTACACGACGTGTAGATCTTGAAAACATAAGCAATTTTTCTTAGTACCATATACACCAATGTCTTAAGGGAACCGAGATAAAGGGCTCTGCAACATCAAAAATATCTGAATACCGTCCTGTAGCCGCGACATCCCCGAGTGGTACTAGGACGCTAGCTCAACCCGACGACAGAACTGGGTCGGGGTCAGTGTGTCAGGTCAGTATGCAACCTTCAACCGACGGTTACGGTCACGCGTGTAGAGGTAATCGAACCCGTATAATCGATGGCGTTTCAAAAAACAACAAGCACTAGAGACGTGGCTAGAGAAGTGCAAGTATCAAAAACTAAAGTGTGGCAAACGCTGCGTCAAGAGGGGCTGTATCCGTTTCACGTCCAACGTGTACAAGCCCTTCAACCTGACGATTTTCCAGCAAGAGTGCGGTTTTGTGAGTGGTTGTTGCATCAACATGACAATAATCTGGACTTTTTGAAGTGCATATTGGTGACAGACGAATCTACGTTCACGCGTAATGGGGTGAATAACTTTCGCAACACTCATGTTTGGTCAGTAGAAAATCCGCACGCTGTCCGTCGGGCACATTTTCAACAAACATTTTCGGTGAATGTTTGGGCTGGCATGGTGAACGGTATGCTCATTGGACCATTTATTCTCCCAAATCGATTGGACGGGATGCAATACCTAGACTTTTTGCGCAACATTTTGCCTTCCTTGTTTGCCTGCGTCTGCTCGGTAGCGCATCAGCTGATTTCATTTTCTGTTGGACCGGTATGATTTCGGGCAGAGACGTACTTAGCCCTTCTCGTCAACTGGAGAGTGAGTACTTTTTCCTTTATTTTTTTTTACTCGGTCGCCCTCGTTTCACTACACTTTACCTTTGTTATTTCAAGGGTAGTTGTTTCTGAAAAGGAAAACCCCAACTTTGCGGAAACCCTGTATATTGATTTTTTACTCAGCTGAATTGTGTTTTTAGTTCTGACTTCAGAATTACGTCATACATCATATTGTGGAATCATAATTATTTAAAAAACAGTATTTCCTAAATAGGCCTTGACATTATCATGTAGTCATTTGTTTGATAATATCATCGGCCAAGTATTCCTGTAGTTTTTATGAACTAATCATATGTGAACAGTCTATTTCCGATTTTAATGATGTGATATTGTACATATCATTACATGGATCACTATTATGAAACAACAAATGCCTGAAAAAGTAATCTTCCTATATTTAGTAATAGCTCATCGAGTAAAGATACCTAACATATACTAAATGACATTTAAATCCGAACACCCAGTTTAAATGGTTTTATTTTAATAAAAGTTGGTGAATGTATTTATCTTACTGTAAATAACAAGTGAAAAAATGTTCAGCCTTATCAGTTGGACATTCCGATTTTTATACTGCTTTTTTTTAATTCACTAACGCTCTAAAAATGAATATTTCAGCCGCAGTAAAGAATCAACGTTGGCGGATTTTGGTTCTTGACATCCTTTACGATCGGTTACGATGCCTAGAGTACGGAGACCTGTACGATTTCGTCAACTTAGTGAGTTTGATAGGGGCCGTATAGTGGGACTTCGAGAAGCTGGACTTTCTTTTCGGGCAATTGCAGTTAGAGTGCAAAGAAGTGTAGACACTGTGGTTAGGTGTTGTCAGGCATGGCTTCGAGAAGGCCGTACGCAAAGAGCAAGGGGCACTGGACGCCGCCGTAGAACAACAGACCGTGAAGATCGCCGCCTAAGATTATTGGCCTTAAGGGACCGTTTCTCCACTACCAGGTCCATTGCAAATGAATGGTTTGCAGAACGCGGAAGACCTATTGGCATGCGAAGTGTTTACCGACGAATGAGAAGTTTTGGCTTGTTTTCATACCGGCCACACTGGGTCCTCCCTTTAACTAGAGAACACCGAAGTAATCGCCTTGAGTGGTGCAGACAACGGTCACTCTGGGATCAGGAATGGAACAGTATTGTCTTTAGTGACGAGTCTCGATTTTGTTTAGGCATGCACGACGGTCGTGCCGGGGTTAGAAGGCGACGTGGTGAAAGGAGGAATCCACAGTTTTTTGTTGAAAGACATGTTCATCACACTATTGGAGTTATGGTTTGGGGTGCTATAGCTTATGGTTCCAGGTCACCTTTAATCTTCATCAGAGGTAACATGAACGCGCAGCGTTATATCCACGAAGTTCTAGAACCCCATCTTTTACCCTATCTTGACACCCTGGCAGATCCAACTTTCCAACAACATAATGCCCGACCACATGTTGCAAGAGTCACAATAGACTTCTTTCAACATAATGATGTCACATTGTTACCATGGCCACCAAGATCTCCCGACTTATTCCCAATTGAGCACGTGTGGGATATGATGGGTAGGAGATTGCTCAATTTGCAACGTCCTCCTCAGACTCTAGAAGCACTTCGAGAGGAGTTGGTGGTTGCCTGGAATGAGATACCACAGGAGGACATTGACCACCTGATCAGAAGCATGCCTAGGCGCGTTGGAGAATGCGTAGCACATCAGGGTGCATCCACACATTATTAAAGGTTAAAGGGCTTTAAAGCAGTACAATCATTTTGAAATTTTTATCATTTACTTATTATGCTTCATTAAGTACTTATACAAACTTTTATTAAAACAAAACCATTTAAACTGGATGTTCGGATTTATATGTCACTTAGTATACATAACAAGGGTAGTAATGGAAACATTGAAAACGATAAAATATGAATAACTGATTGAAACATTGAGAGAAAGTAAAAGCTTCAACGATGTTGCAGGCTGCTAAGCACATTTCATATCCGTCATATCTGAAGCGATGCTCACATATTGCATTTGAATAATAATATTAATCTATTGTGGAGGTGTCATGTAGGGCGACACCGTACTAAAATAACGCTTGTTATAGTTAATAAATGGTCAAATTACCTGAATTTTCTTCTTCTTTAATTAGTGATGTAATCCAATAAACATTGGACAATCTGTCACTTTCAAGGCTACCTATGAAAATATTAGCTTTTTCTGAAATATCAGTGTATGCCATATACCTACATATTTGCAATCAGAAAGGTCTATTTACCTGTGCAATATGTCGCCTATAAGAATAAATAAAGTTGATAATTAAGACAAGAAACGCCACATTGCCACCTTGCAGAAGAGAATATGTGGCAATGATGTGCAATTTATTTCGAGATCCCACTCCAAATACAGCGAGGTAGAAGTAAAGACGATTTGAGGGAAATTGTTCTCTATTCCAGGAAATATTATGAATTTCATAGTTGCCTAAATGCGCACCTTTGCCTCAATTTCATTGACTTCATACCGCATACCGTTGCCGAGGTCCCATTGGTGAGAGAATATGCAACACCCGGTATAGTCCAGTATACATAAAGTCTGCTATTGCAATTCATTCGAGAGAATTATATTTTCTCTGGGCTGAGCATTATATGGGAAGCTTAAGTCAAAGTTTTACCACAAACCTCACAGTTTTCCAACATATTTTATTTATTTATTTATTTAAAAGCGGCCAATATGTCTGAATATTGTCAAATATCTATGAACACGTTCATATGCATCCTTAGCAACGTTTGGTCCTCCGTCAAAAAAGGCCTGTTTGATTGAAATTTCAGGATAGCTTTTTTACTCAGAAGTGATAAATCAGTCATGGTTTCCACTAAAAAGTAATAAAACGGCAGTGTCGGTGGCACCAGCAACAAAGTTTTGGTATAAAAGCGAGACTATGTTGAAAAAATGAACTATAATCGTAGTCCTCATCCTCAAACACCGATCTCCAAAATTTTTATAGATATCACATAAACAGCCTCAGTCATAGAGAAATAAAGATTCCAACAGTTCAATATTATTCTCGCAAGTTTAATTCATGATATCATTTTGACTCATTCATTATGATCTGAAATGATTTAGTATATGATTTATCAAAAACAGGATCTGGTATTTTTTGAGAAAATTATTGCTGTTATTCGCCATCCAGTTGTTTGAACACCTTCACTAGACTGTGGTTAATAACTGAGATTTAAATTTCCCATTATAGTACTTCTGATAAGAGCAATAACAACATCAAATTGCAGTAGTATCATTAAAGCATACTGAACTAATACGGAAATGCAAGACAATTTCATTTGAACAAGTAGTGTAGAGATCATGAGAAACTTTAAGACGTACCTGATGTAAATTAGTATAGTTTATGAAATTATTTTCTGGCAATTAGATTTATTAAATTTGCAAAGATATCAGTTTTCTTTGCTTCGATCCTGACGAAAATTCTATCTTGTTCAATTGAAATCATACAGTGAGAGTTTAGCTTTGACATTCGTGATCAGTGTTTCTTAATATGTCGTGATTCTTATTGGTTCTTTCGGTTGTACGTAATATTTTAGAGAAATGAAAAGTAAGATCAAATTATACGGAGTATAAAAAGCAGTAGTGAAAAAAAAGGTAAAACACCTACGTATGATTTTAATAATTTTTGGCATATGTTCAGTGTCCCTTACTATACTACAACTATTTAAAACTGTAATGACTCATACGCGTGACCAACACGTGATCAGAGCTCGATCCCGGCTTCCTTCCAGTACAGCCGTATAGCGTACGACATATGTCGTTTCTGTGGCTTTGCGGTGGTCAACAGCACAGACAGAGATGGAAATAATGGCTGATTGTTCTCCGCCGGTAGAACTA